CTAGTTATACTGGTCTGTGGGCATAATGTGCATGATACAAGTCGTCGTCATCGTCGTCATCATCGCTCCCAGGATTGTGCTTCTTCTGATGTTCTACTAAAACCTCACTGCTGCTCTTCAATTCATTAAAAGAATTTTGCACATTGGTATCTCGACCATTGGCAAGTCTCTCCTCGTATCCTATTCTACTATTTTTCAAATTCTCAAATATTTTGGGTGGAGTTTGTTCTGTAGCATCACCGTCTCCACCCCGCATGTGCAAGTTCTCATATTCAAATCTTTTATCTTTGAATATTTGATGATGTAATGTTGTCTCTTCACTCTTGGGACATTCATATTTCATTCTATTATCATTACAACTATTGCTAGATTTGCTTGGACTGTTTGAAGATGTTACATCTATAGACTTTATGTCCTTAGCACGATTTATTTGTTCTTGGTGACAGGCATCTTTATAAAGTTTTGGCAGTCGCCTGTAAACCACATTAGAACCCAAATCTTTATTAAGCTGTTTATCAGGCACAGTTTTCAACTTTTGTTTCAAGGAATATGCAAAAACAGGATTTTTAGTAGCAACCTCTGACTTGATTTCTTCTATGGGACTGGTGTCGGATGTTGGCAGGTCTGTTACAGAGTAAGTTGTCTGGTTTGACTTGTCTTCTAGATGTTTTCCAGTATCTATGGCTGGATTATTGTGTTGCGCTTTCAAAACTACCATCGGTGAAACTGATTCGTCAATTGAAATGCTGCAAGTTGGCTGTTTTATAGGCTGAAGCACAGGTTTGTCAATTGTCAGGGAGTGTGTAGATTTATTTTGCAGCCTTTGTTGCCCAGACTCATCATAATGCGATTTTGGAACTTCAGTAAAACCGATATCACTGACATTCTTCTTCTGTACTCCATTACTTTCAGCTTCAGTAGCACGTGTTTCTACTATGTCGCTAAAGACTGTTGGGTTTGGTGGATAGTTGAAAGGCGTGTATGGAATCAATGGCACCGTTCCAGTAATTGGGGGAAACATTGGCAAATTCCACCAGTTTGGTAGATGCGAGTTTGCCCACTCATTAGTAACTGGAAAGTGCAACTCATCTCCAAATTGGCGAATAGAATCATTAATTCCATTTGTTGCAAGACCAATCAAATTGTTATTGCTAGAAGTTTTACTATCTGATTTTTCGGTTGTGAAATTCAGGTCAGCTCTTCTTGTTGAAGAGGAAACTAATGCATTCTGAGTATTAACAGAGAATCCTGCACCATTTTCAATTTCAGGCGAGGCAAAAACATCAGTGTTTTTCCCAATATTATTTGATGATGAATTAGTTGTGACTGCCATACCAATAGATCTATCATTGGTGTCTGCCAAAGTAGATGTTTCATTGTAGAGTGTTTCTCCATTAATAGTATTTTTCAGACCAAAATGTTGAAGGCGTCTCAAATCAGAAGAAATACAAGCTGTATTTACTCTATCAACTTTATCATCATATATCTTTGTTTGTTTAGTTTCATTCATCTTTTCACTGTCATTCGTAGTCATGGCAATATTTCTCAATAGGTCGTTATTGCCAAATATTTTACCATTACCACTTGATTTAATGGGAATATTATTAATACTACCGGCATTTCTGCCAGATATTAAGTCATTGTTCTGTTCGCTGTTACACTTCCTGGATGACAGATCAAGTTTATTGAAACATGAAACAAACTTCTTCACCGATTCATCGCACATTGTTTCTTCTTCAGCTTGTATATGCCTTCTTGTAGGGTTGATATTACTTATTAGTGGTTTTTCCACCTCTTGAGCGCTAAGTGAAGATGCCAAAGTGGTATGTGTTGATACTGGTACATCACTACTACACTTGGAGGATATTGCACCACCCAATATCTGCTGCTCAGATGTTAAATCCATATTACGTTGTTTGTTATATGTCTCTGCATTGTCACAGCAATCCAAGACCAATGTTTCAGACCTAGAGCTTATCTCCTCATTTTCTATATCCCAATAAATCAGATCATCAATATTTATATTGCTATTATTCCTGTCATCCAACATTCCGTTTGCACTTTGTCCATATAGTTTATTTACATCACTGTTATCATAGACAGATATCGGATCAATGTTTGACCTGCAAGGTTCGTTACATCTAACACTCCTTGAGATAGACTTGCGACTTTCAGCTAAGGCTTCTTGAAGTAGGTTATCATCCCTGAATTAAAACATAATGCATGTAATGTTATACACTGACCAGAAGATATTATGTAAAGTTTGTTAAAATTTCTTTTTTTGAAATGCATAATTAATTTAAACTAAAGTACATTAGTTTTGCTTCCGAAATAGACAAACCTGAATCAGAGAATGTGAACATTCTGCTATAATTTGACCAACAAATCCATTGAAATAATGCTTTGAACATTACTCAGCAAATATGCAATCCACAAATGGATTGAATTCATGATATGAGTGTAATAGTACATATGTACGTGTGTGTACATATATAAAGATACATGTCTCTGGAACAGTATTCATTGAAATTAGTTGGCCATTTTGTATCTGATTTAAATATTATTATTATGTTCAACATGTGTAACCAAACGTAAAAAAAATTGTCAATGCATGTCTAAGATCTGGTTCCAGAATCGCTTGATTTCAATATTTTTTTGCTTTAAAATTAACACCATAATGGTCATCTTAAATTGATTCGTAAAATAATTTCATAATTTCGCAATATTATATATAATGCATGTGTAAAGTTTGATCAAAGCATGTTAGATATATGTATACAATGAAATGAAATGGTCAGCCATTTTGAATCTAATCTGAAGGTCCAATATAAACACTCGATATACCAAGTTTGAATATAATCAAACCATACACCAATCATATATATATATGAAGAACTGGTTCTGGAATGACACAAATGTTTGATTTTGATGAATTTTTAGCATTAAATGGCCAAATATTGGACATTTTAATGCCAACAATTTTTAAATAGTATCATGAAATGAATATATGTTTGAAGTTTGAAGATGATCAGTCCAGACATGACTGTGATATTGCCCCAGAAAAGTATCCATTAAAAATAAAAAGGGCCACCAGTCGCAATTTTTGAAATATTTCTGCAAAAGAAAGTGACGTGCATGTATGTACCATGTTTGAACAAATTCAGTCTATACATGACAGAGAGCTTGTTCTGGAATGACAAATTTGATTTATTTGATGAATATTTGGCTCTGAAATTTGTCTATTGAGATTCAGATCATGAAAAAATGAACTTTCCAGGAATGACCAAGATATATACAAATAGGTAAAATTATGAATCCCCATTTTAGAATTAAAGGTCAATAAATTAAACATGATGACGAACATAGATAAATAAATATCACTATAAAGACTTTATGTGACACATATTAATGGTAATGAACAGAATTATGATATAATCAATGGTGTTGAACAGGTGTATATCGAGATAAATACTGAAGGTGATTCACATGAATGGTGGTAATAATTTCCACTTATGATACTTACTCGATGTGACTGGCAGAAAAATTGTCTTGTCTACTCAGTTCTAAAGCTTTCTGTAACATGTGTTGTTCTTCAGCTGCTGTACTTGGTTGCAGTTTACGTATCATTTGCCTTTGATTCCATGCATTGTACTTTGGTGGCTTAGCAATCTCTGCATAAGGTTTAGATATACAAGGAGGTGTAATTTTTGTATTATCACATGATGAAGTGAAAAAAGATGGTCCATTCATAACAGATTGTTTTCTCGAAGATTTGGCTTTCTTTTTTCTTGTGGATGTTTTTTGCGCTTGATTCATTTTCTGGGACTTGTTTGACTCTTGTGTTTTCATATGTGATGGGATGTCCCAAATACTTTCGATATTATCACAGCATGTAGTTTCTTTTTTTGCTCGTTTTGATAATTGTATGATATCATTCCATTCTTTTTGATTTCTCTCCCTTTCTTTCTCCTGTAATTCCTTTATTTTAGCATTTCTTAGGTCTTCATTAAATACCTACAAATAAAATAAACGAAATAAAAAGGCTAGCAGTTGATGATCTTGGAAACAAGTCTGATCTACTACTTAGGTGTGAAGTCCATGAATGTCTGAGATAGAGTTACATGGGTACACATGGTTTGTTTCACATGCATGTATACAGTTGATTTCTGTTAATATGAGATGCTGGCAAGGTAACATGACCATATATGGTCATCTGAAAGGTTAGTCATGCTCCTTATTTGATGCCTTCAATACAGCAACAATGCATGGGATATAGTTATACATATTAATAACATAAAATTATCATCAGATATATTAGTCACATCTCTTATCCAATGCTTTTATTATGCAGATTTATGTATTTCCACAGCAAATATATGTAATGATATAGTTGCTTCAGATATCAATGCAAAAGGTGAAGTTTTCTAAATATTATGCAAATTAGGTAATTAGTATGCATGAATTTCATCCAAAACTAATCGTGTCTGTGCATATCACACATGCATCTATGCACTAACTTTTATTGAATTGAGATATATATATATATATAGAAAAGCTAAAAATAGACTATTGGGCAAAATATATTTAACCTCAAACTAAACAAGTCAGAATGTGTTTTACTCAGTTATCCCTGAGAGCAACAAACTTACCCTGCCCCAATGGCATCTAGAAATCTCTCAGATAGTCTAACGTCATGTTGAAATAACTATTTTGCATTTGGGACCAAAATGTGTTATAAAGACCTTTTTTAATTTCTCTCACCTGCCCCAGATGTCTCATTCTCATCAAGTCATCATCATACTTCTTCATCTCATTTAGTGTTTTCTTTTCTTTCATCTCTTTGATTTGCTTCTCTGTGTGTCTTTTTGGTTGAACTTTCATTAATTCTTCAAATTGAAACAGATGTTTTTGTAGTAGAGCTGCATCTCTCCCACTTTCTGTAACTTTTCCCTTCTGAAAACGAAGTTAAATATTGTCATATAATAATTAATCAAGTTTTAATTTAAAATAATTTGGATTTTACATGTCTACCTGTGTAATGTCATGCAGGTGATATGTTGAGTTAACAATTGAGCGTAGGTGTCACAGAGTCTTTAATTATGTTATTTCAGAGGCATTTATGTCATAGTTATATAATATATGTTGGTGAATATTATTAATGATTACAGAAGTGCTTGTTGATCTCTAGTGTGACATTTCAGTATGTGTGACAACTAAAATGCAACCAACTTAACATGTTCAATGGTGGCAGCAAACTGATTACAATGCGACATTCTGGTCATCGCAATGGGAACATAGATTTGGTAATATACCACATCAATACACTCAGTGCTGAAATCATACACCTGAAATTAATATGCTCCATGCAACTGAACTTACTTTCAATATGTACATTTAATAATGTACTAATTAGCCAGGTGATGGCATTTATGCACAAATTAAACACTATTTCAATCAACAGTGAATCAATAGCGTAACGATGCTTTCAGTGGTAGAAAGTATTTGCAAAGTTGAGAGTTGGAATCACTTATTTCTTGTTTATATATTCAAATATGTGCCTGTAGTTTTGATTACTAAACGGGTTTGTCACTGCAAGTGGACTGAATTGTTCCCGAACTCAATCGTAACTGAGTCGGTCATTCTGATCATACTTAGTATTTTCCAGAGACCTTATATTTGTTGAAAAAATATGGGAAGTCCAGTATAGCAGCATTGTCTGATTAAACAGGAGTATTAATACAACAAAACATACCTTATTCTTCTGGGTTTCTCTCTCAGGTTTCTGGTGCTTTTTTGATTTCACTGACTTCACCTTGGATAGAAACTTCTCAAGATCTGTTTCTCTTGACTCTTTTAATTCTTCAGCAGATTTATTTGCTTTTCTTCTCAATTCATCACTGGTAATATATGTGGATTGGTAGCTAGGCAACAACAATGTTATATATGTGGGTTTGTAGTTTGACAACAACATGGTAAAATTTAGGGGTTTGTAGCTAGGCAACAAACATGGTAATATATGGGGGTTTGTAGCTAGGCAACAACATGGTAAAATATGGGGGATTTGTAGCTAGGCAACAGATGTTTCAATATATGTAGCTGATGCATAAACTGCATGAAATAAATGGTGAGCATTGACATTTCAAGAACACCTTCAGGGCTGCTTGTCTGCTCATCATGTTTAATGATTGACTTACTAACCTTGTCTGCTTATCATGTTTAATGATTGGCTGCTCATCCTGGTCAATGATTGGCTTAAACAAAGAATTAACAGGTACTGTATCTGGCTCTTCATCATCAAATAGTGGTAGTTTTTTCTGGAAAATAAAAAATAATGTTATAATCTGAAAAGGGCAAGAACTGGATCGGACATAATATTGTTTCCCAAGACTACATTGCATTGCTTTGATTCATACGTTTGTTTTTAAACAAAGAACAAAGTGATGGTTGCTTATCTAAGTTAATGCCTCTCTGATTATAGTTTTTAGCGTATAACTGATTCTTTAAATAGCAGTCATATTGTTATGATATTCTATTTTTGCTGTAAAATAAATGTATTTTGATAATGCCTAGTTAGCCAGCTGCGGATTAGATTAGACAGCATGTATTGTCATTGCTAATTAATATTCTTTTGTTCGTGCTTGTGTAAGAAGAACGTGAACACGAGTTACTCAGTTGTCATCCAGCTCCCGACCAGTTCAGTTCAGTTCAGTTCAGTTCAGTTCAGTTCAGTTCAGCTCCGGTGCAGTGTCGACCGGGCAGCCAACGTATGTCTCAAGATAATGCCTGTCCAATTCGGCATGTGGGACTGAAAGATGCAAGACAGCCTGCTGTGGTTCTGCGCTGTGAACATTATTCAAAGACCTGCGTTTGGCTAAGAAGCGTGGATTGCTGATCTTGGTCCTTTCTTTGCACAGGCGGGTATGGAAGTCGCGTTACGGACAGTGTCGTGTAGTTTGCATTCCTTGATATCTCATCGTTTGGAGCTGTAGAACTGATATTGTTGTCAACGTTGCTACGAATGACTGCACTAAAGTGGCTGCTCAAACTGGTCAATTAAAACCAGTTAGTTCAAACTGGTCAATTAAAACCAGTCAGTTCAAACTGGTCAATTAAAACCTGTTAGTCCAAATCAATCAGATCAGCCCAATTAATTCAAACCGATCAGTTCAAAGCAGTCATCTCAAACCAATCAGTTCAGTAAAAACTTTTCATATACTTACTTTTTCTTTTGATTTCTTGCGTTTTTTTCCTTGTCGTTTTTCATTTTCCAGTAACAACTTGTTTAAACGTTCTTCTTCTCTTTCTTTTTCCTGCTTTTGTCTTTTAATTTCATCTTCATCGGTACGTCCCAAACTACATAAAGTTGCAATAAAAAGTGTTGTACGATAATCTGCATCAAGGCTATGGGACCTATGTGGTAATCTCAATTTGAAATCAAATGAATTGTAATATATTATGAGGTTATTAGGAGAATACCTCAAAGTATGCACAAAAACAGTACAGCTAGAGTATCGACTGACGTGCAGTGAAGGTCGATACGCTGCATATGTTCATACTTTGGGGTATTCTTGTAATAACCTTATTATTATACTTCTTTTCCTTCCAAGGATACATCATGGGAATGCCAAAATTCAAAAGGTTTACAACAGAATCAGCGAACTTCTTTGTGTGGAGTCAAACCCTGGTGGCAGCCATGTTTGTACAGGTTGCATTCGATAGTGAATGAATCTCGGCCAGTGGTATAGGTCTTCCTATAGTCACTATAGCTAATATATTTATACTGTACCTTCTGAATACAAGCTTATCAATGCGCATCCTGCAGTTTTCCTTTGGTTCAAGTTCTGAACCATCTCTAGTGTTCAACTCCTTGCTAATCTCATTAATTTCTTTTTCACGTCTTCTTTGTTCTTTCAACAGTTGCTTTTTACTAAGTGATTTTGGCTGAAAAAAACAAACTAATTTGATCAAATCTTGAACTATAACAATGTGAAGACGTATGAAAGACAACAATACATTGATTGTTACATAAACAATAACAATATGAAAGACAACAATACATTGATTGTTACATAAACAATAACAATATAAAAGAATACAATACATTGCTATGTGAGCAATAACAATATGAAAGACAACAATACATTGCTATGTGAGCAATAACAATATGAAAGACAACAATACATTGCTATGTGAACAATAACAATATGAAAGACAACAATACATTGCTATATGAACAATAACAATATGAAAGACAACAATACATTGCTATGCAAACAATAACAATATGAAAGACAACAATACATTGCTATGTGAACAATAACAATATGAAAGACAACAATACATTGTTACATGAACAATAACAAGATGAAAGACAATACATTGTTATGTGGACAATAACAAGATGAAAGACAACAATGCATTGTTACATGAACAATAACAATATGAAAGACAACAATACATTGCTATGCGAACAATCACAATATGAGAGACAACAATACATTGTTACTTGAACAATAACAAGATGAAAGACAACAATACATTGCTATGCGAACAATAACAAGATGAAAGACAACAATACATTGTTATGTGGACAATAACAATACGAAAGACTACAATACATTGTTACATGAACAATAACAAGATGAAAGACAACAATACATTGCTATGCGAACAATAACAATATGAAAGACAACAATACATTGTTATGCGAACAATAACAATATGAAAGACAACAATACATTGTTATGTCGACAATAACAATATGAAAGACAACAATACATTGTTACATGAACAATAACAAGATGAAAGACAACAATACATTGTTATGTGGACAATAAGAAGATGAAAGACGACAATGCTTTGTTACATTAACATAAATATTGTCAGGTGATTTTTAACAATATGAGATACAATTAATGATATTTGATATTTGTTGCATGAAAACAACATTTTTACTGGTAGGTGAACTATAAAGTATGAAAGTACTGAGAGTGTATCCAACTGTAGTCTGGATACATAAAGAATATCCAGTTGCTGCACTCTGTATCTGAGGTGTATATCACACAATATTATTAACAAATATATATTTTAATATATATATATATATAAATTACCTTGGTTACTGGAACTGGTTGTTTTTTCTTGGATTTCTGAAAGAAAATTAAATGGCATGTACACAGATGACTATGTAATTAATTCTTTTCAAACTGGGAATGATTAAAATGAATGTATGAAACCATAGACACAGTAGTTGTATGGATCTACGGATACTACTACTTTTAAACAAATTATATTGTTTCATTGTTACATGTATGACTATTCCAGACTGAAGTGTATCTAAACTGTTCATATGCATTTAAGAGAGACAATGAGAGAAACATGGTAATTACTTACACGTTTCCTTGACTTGGTGTTTTTCTTATCATCACCAACACTGTGACCATGTAACTTAAGCAGCTACAAAACAATGAATATAATTGCATTCTAGGTTGTATCATATAGTATCTTGGTTGCATCACATAGTATCTAGATTTTACAACATAGTATCAAGATTGTATCACACAGTATCTAGGTTGTGCCACATAATATCTAGGTTGTGCCACATAATATCTAGGTTGTGCCACATGGTATCTATGCCATATCACATAGTATTTAGGTTGTATCACATGGTATCTATGTATCATATAGTATCACATAATATCTAGGTTGTATCATATCTAGTTTGTATCACATAGTATCTAGGTTGTATCACATGGTATCTATGTCATATCACATAGTATCTAGGTTGTATCACATGGTATCTATGTCATATCACATGGTATCTAGTTTGTATCACATAGTATCTAGGTTGTGCCACATAGTATCTAGGTTGTGCCACATAATAATTAGGTTGCACCACATAATATCTAGGTTGTGCCACATGGTATCCATGTTGTATCACACGGTATCTAGTTTGTATCACATAGTATCTAGGTTGTGCCACATAATATCTAGGTTGTGCCACATAATATCTAGGTTGTGCCACATGGTATCTATGCCATATCACATGGTATCTAGGTTGTATCACATGGTATCTATGTTGTATCATATAGTATCTAGTTTGTATCACATAATATCTAGGTTGTATCACATAATATCTAGGTTGTATCACATGGTATCTATGTTGTATCATATAGTATCTAGGTTGTATCACATAATATCCAGGTTGTATCACATAGTATCTAGGTTGTATCATATAGTATCTAGGTTGTATCACATGGTATATATGTTGTATCATATAGTATCTAGTTTGTATCATATAGTATCTAGTTTGTATCACATAGTATCTAGGTTGTATCACAGAGTATCTAGGTTGTATCATATGGTATCTATGTCATATCACATAGTATCTAGATTGTATCACATGGTATCTATGTCATATCACATAGTATCTAGGTTGTATCACATGGTATCTAGGTTGTATCACATAGTATCTAGTTTGTATCACATAGTATCTAGTTTGTATCACACAGTATCTAGGTTGCATCACATGGTATCCATGTCATATCACATAGTATCTAGATTGTATCAAATGGTATCTATGTCATATCACATAGTATCTAGGTTGTATCATAGTATCTAGGTTGTATCACATGGTATCTATGTCATATCACATAGTATCTAGTTTGTATCACATAGTATCTAGGTTGTATCATATAGTATCTAGGCTGTATCGCATAGTATCTAGGTTGTATCACATAGTATATAAGTTCAGCTTTGTCACAAGGCTTGTTTTCAGTTAATTAATAATGGTAGCCAAATGTGGATCCAAAAGACCTTGCCTTGAGTTGAGGTTTCTTTACGCATTATTGGGGTGACCAGGTTTGGAAATGTACACGAATTGGACACACACGCTTGCAATGACAACACAAAGATGTATAAACTTTCAACTCAATATTTAATAACACAACTATAAATAAAGGGGGGAATAATACAAAGCGGGCATATACGGAACAACTGATATATACACACGGCTTCAAGCTCCAGTCACAAGTGACAAGTGACTGGAGTATGTGGAGTCAAAAGTAAGAAAAATATGTAAAATTTAACAAAACTATTTGGTGTTTCAACTAAGTGAACCGTTCATACCAGAGTTGGCAAAAGTATGAAACCCAACAAAGCATTGAACAAAATAACACACTACGACTCTAAAATAATTCTTAAATAATTATGCATACCATGTCGGCAGTACAGTTCATGTGGAAGCGTAGACCTGCTGGGCACGCTGTCGAAGTGGAGATGGACATGCCCTATTCCAGCTGGCAACGGAGCATTGAACCTGTTACACTCGACGAACCAAAGGCTTCTTGGCAAGGTGGTTTAGATTATTGTTCCGAGGAAATTTACTCAGCTCGCAAAACCATAATAATAATAATAATATTTTAAACAAAGAAGAAAACAACCAAATCATACATATTTGAAAAAGGAAAGAAGAAAAATCACATTAAATTCAAACTTTCTTTTCTATACTTATACAATTGAGTAATAAATACTCTAACTTCCTTGGATACAATATTCCCCAAATTATTGTTGACTTTCCACAATATGTCGCTAAAAAGTACATTAAACTTAGTACATCCACTAGAAAACTGCATCCATGGCGATTTCTTGACAAAGGATAAATGAGCCGGGCCTTCCGACGCACAAATGATGTGCACACTCAGCAACTGCGTGGCAGCAAAGACGTTGACAATAGATTTTCCATTCATTAAATACCATGCATGAATTAGCATAACGGGCAATTAGCATGTAGATCCTCTTCAGTAAGCAATTAGTTGGTTCGTTGACATTGGTGGCGTCTTTATTACTCCACTTAAAATTAGCAGACGTACGTGCATTTCACCTTGAGTGGGGAATCGACGTCCCACATACTCAACACAATTCGTTGCTGGGATTATTCTGCCCAGGTTATATTTATCATTGCAAATTTGCATGCTTCATGGAATTAATTTTATAATAATTACATTACTATGATCTGAAATTACACATGTATTTTGGAACCTTGTGACAAGCTTAATAATAATAATAATAATAATAACTTTATTGCATCCTTAGAAATACAATGTTCCTATCAGTTGATAGCAATAAAGATTAGTTGTGATAACTACTACTACAAAAAGAAAGTTAGTTGTTAAAAGGATAAAGCAAGTGTTACATATCAAATGGCATTTTCAATTACTAACCTCTTCTTCGGTGAAATCTGGTTCTTCACGTCTTTCATTTTTTTTTCTTTTCTGAGTATGAAAACCAACAAATTATGTTCGAAGTACAATACGTTAAAATGCAGAGCTCACTGACTGATAGCTGAGAAAGTAACCTCATCCATGCAGCCGATGTCACAGAGAAATGTATTTTCTTTTAAAGTGAAGGGGCTGTCCCCTGCACATGTGGGGGAATTAAATTTTAAGCAAGGTAACATTGCATGCTAAAAACACAAAAGCTCATGGCTAGAAGCTTGTTTGAAAACAATGAAACACTATGGATGTCTGTCGCATGAACAGGTGAAACTCCTCTACTTCGAATCAAGAAAATAAAGAATGATACACCATAGAATTAAAAAATAGCTCAAGTTAAATAACAGATACAGGGAGCCCTCAATCCATGAGTAGAACAACATATACAGAGTGCCCTCAACCTGTAAGTTGTATAACAATAATAACATACTTTTTTTGACATTATGGTGACTGAACAGACTGTGAATATTGACTTACTAATCCAAGACTAGGTTGCAAAATCAGTAAGTGAAAGCATGAGAATTATAAAAATATTTATTATAAGAATTATTGCTCAATTTATATTTATTTGTTCCTTGTAGTATCTTGATCATTCCTCCAAAAATTACTGTTCCTCAAAATTTCTAATTGGCCCCCTTTTTTATTCTTTCATTAACCATGGTATAATCTGATCTCAT